TACTACTACTACTACTACTACTACTACTACTACTACTACTACTACTACTACTATCCATCTGTATCTATCTATTGGGGGGGGGGGAAGGCCTTGAACTTCACCCTTCGAAATAGTCTTCATCAAGATCGCAACATCTGATGTCACATAAAGGCCCCTTAAATACAATCCCCAGTAAAAAGATCGTACATAATCCCCCTTTAAAAAATCGAAAAAGGTTAAATTACCCCCCCCTAAAAAAGAAAAAAAAATCAACAACCTCCCACTCACTTGTACATATCCTCTCCAGGGTTGACCCTGTGGTTCGTCCTTGGGGCGTTTGTCCTAGGGTAGATGGCCACTTTACCTTCTCCCACTTTCTTCCCCATGTCTTGTCCATTGGAGGGAAGGGTGTAGGCCTCCAGGAGAAGGTATACATCGTGGTTTCGGTCGTTTTTGCAGAAACCTGTGAATATTGTAGTTAGCGTTAATGTAATAAAAATAATTCCCATTTAACCATTAATTGTCAGGAAAAAAAGTTCGTTGAATGTCGTTTTCATAAAGGCAAGGTGAGTGTTTCACGGATAGGATTCGATCATGAAATAAAATGTGGCCAGTATTTGGTAATTACTGGGTTAAGGTATTGTTTTGTTGTCTGGGAAAGAAGCATACATGAGTCTTTAGAATGAAAAAAATGTTCATCTGGGCTCGGAAACCGAGTGACATAAATATTCTGATAACATCAACAATCATCGTGAAATGTAGACTATCTGTAGTCGTTTACCTCACAATAATAGACATTTATTTTTCTTATTTTGTGCCCTTTTCACCAATCGTAGACCGCTACTTGGGTCATAACTCCTTTGCCCGGTATGACACGCTGAGAAAAGAATGGAACAATTCACATTGTCAGCTCCTCCCTACACTGCTGTTGAACATGTCCTTGATGTGCACAAGCTACGATTAGTTTGTAAACCATTTTGTCACATTGTCAATCCTATATAAATATAATTTATGCATTTATGGAAGTGTGTCATTTGCAGTATAATGGTAAGTATACCGGCCTGACACGACCGAAATTGTGTGAGTAGACTGAGAGAGAGAGAGAGAGAGAGAGAGAGAGAGAGAGAGAGAGAGAGAGAGAGAGAGAGAGAGAGAGAGAGAGAGAGAGAAGAAATATGATAAATACATAGAGGCTGAATGAAATACAAAAATGGATCGGTCAGACGGGTTGTCAATGGCAAGACGTTTTCTCCAGTTTAAAAGACAGAATCATGCAATGTGGCGACACGCCATGGTGTGTTTTATGTCAGAATTTTATCAAGTTTTTGTTACTAGCCTACACAAAGATCCAGAACAGACCAAAATAGAGTAGTCCCCAATTATTCGGGGTTTTTTCCTCGTTATCAAACAATTATGTATGTTGGCCTTTGATTCTTATCAAGGTGTTTTGAAGTCGTGAGTGTGAAAGATCACGCGGGTAAGAAAAAAAAAAGGAAGGAAAGGAGGAAAAGATGGCACCGGGGTTTAATGAGCATGATCTTTCAATTTTCAAAGGGGGTATACACCGGGTGGGAGCGGGACAGTGTCGATCTATTGCTCATCTTTTCACCGGGATGACATTTCAGCTCCTTTTCCACACAGTGTTACCATAATTAGTGGGATACAGCACAGATAAATGTAATAAAGTCAGATAGATGAAAAGGAACATACTGGTATTTGAGCCTGGATATTAAGGACACAATCTCAAACTCAAGCAAAACAAAATTTCGACAAAGACTTATCAGAATATGTTATGGTCACGTTCAGTGTTTAAGATCGTTGTCAATCTTTTACCTCTTAGACCTAGTTTATAAACCTTGCTAACTCTGAATTAACTCTCTTTCTCCTTAGGTATTGCTAAAATGAACGTTGTTATATTTATCTACCGTGGGATTATGTAAAGATAAGTATTTCTTATGTGAACTTTCAAAATATGCGTGCTCAGAATATGAAGTTAATTTTCGACAATACATTCCCCGTGAGCTAAGAAAGAATACCACTCGAAGGTTCAAAGACAGAAAAAAAACACAAAAAAAAACGATCACATGAGGGAAGCCAGTGTTACGATAACTAAAACCAACAACCCTTTGAATAAAAGTAAATTTGCACTTTAAAACGAAGTTTTTGTTTTATTAACTCAAGATGAAGAAAAATATACTGCTGTGAATTAAAACAAGATATATAGGTGCTTCATTTGTCATCCGCACATAATAGGTCATGTAGGAAGCGGGCCTTGACTCTACCTTCAGGGCAAACTCGGGACGGGAGGGATACAACGTCCAAGACTGAGATACTCGATAAAACTTTACCCAAACGGGAATCGAACCCCGGTCTTCTTCGTGCAGCGGCGAAGCGCCTAACCACTATACTATAGAGAGTTGCTTTGTGAAAAAGGTAACGATTAAGAACAGCAACAGCAAAAAAGGGATTGTGTGCTTCAAGACGCCGATATTGAACATTACGCTTTGCTTGTAATCGAGACTCAAATTTAAACATACTTTTTCCACCATGTAGACTAGATGTCATAGCCCGAGTTTGGTCAGATTTGCTTTATGCTCTGAGGTTGAGACTAAAGTGTCTGACCACCCAGTAATCACAAGTGATTTAAAAATTCCCCTCACAGAAAATAAAGAAAAGGTAAGACAATATCATACAATCTTTAGGTATCCACAAGCGCTCCACGAGAAATTATAAAAACGAGAGCGACTTCCCCTCAATTTATTCACACTAAAACTTCTTAACATTACAGCGATAGAAAGCTGTAGCTGTGAGATCTGTAAATGTAAGTCAGTTAGACCTTTATTTTAGAGGAGGAAAAAAAAAAGTGGGGATAGAAGAAAAAAAAGGGGATGGGGTTGGGGGTGGGGTTGGGGGTGGGGTTGGGGGTGGGGTGGAGGGTGTGTCATGCCTTGCCAACACGTAGAGCTGAGAGAGTAGGCTCTGTGAAAGAGATATCAGCAGAACACCGTTATCAACACGGGCACGGGAACGCAATCTGCTCGTCGACTGTGCGGTGGTTGGTCAAATATTGGGTGAAGATTAATGGTAGTGGTAGAGGACTGTTGGCGAGAGAATACTTCTGAACTAGAACGAGACTACCACCATAGAATCTCCTTGATGTAAAGTATTGGGTGCTTGGGTGTTTACCGATGTGTTAATTAATTCGCGCTGGTAAAATGTGATGTTTGCTGTTGTTGTTGCTGTTGCTGCTGCTGCTGCTGCTGCTGCTGCTGCTGCTGCTGCTGTTGCTGCTGCTGCTGCTGCTGCTGCTGCTGCTGCTGCTGCTGCTGCTGCTGCTGCTGTTGTTTTTGTTGTTGTTGTTGTTGTTGTTGTTGTTGTTATGATTCCTTTCCAATACTACCTATTATAAAATATAGTCCAATAGTTCATAGGTAGGCGGTGATATATCGGTGAAACGTACAGAAAGAGATCCAAGGCCTAGTTGGCCCAAAACAAAACAACCAAAGACCAAATACAAAACAATAGCAGAACCGCACAATTCCGAGAAAGCCAAATACTCCCTCCAACCTCTCCCCAACAACAACCAAAAACAAATAAGCAAACAAACAAAAACAACAAACAAACAAACAAACAAACAATCCCCCCAAAAAACAACAACAAGAAAAACAACAAACGTCCCTGATTCGCAGAATCTCTACGGGGCGTTCTTGAACTTAGGCTGTTTGAGGAATTTTAAAATATAATTCACCTAAAATGATTGGCTTGGTGTTATCTTATGGGAAATAGACGTGCCATTCGGATGTTGTTCCTCTTGAATAAGCCTGCAATGTTGAAAGTGGCGTTAAACTCATACTATACCTATATTCCATTACTGTCAAGGGATATGGAAATGCCCCCTTATGACTTGAAGCCTTTTTACCTGAGCTCGTTTTGAGCGAAATCTTCTGTTCAGAACTCTTTGAGACCACGTCATTTGGTCCAATAGTTCACTGGTCCAAACCATACTAAGAGCATGCATGCTGTCACTTATTCTTGCCCAGCAAAGGTTATAGCACGCTTCAGGGAGCAACAAGTAGAAAGGTAAGAGAGTGAAAATAAAATAATAGTAATAGTCGTGTGGAACCTTCAGGGAGTCTGAATGTGAACTGTCGGTCATCAAATGTGCAAAGCTCCGGTTTCTGTTCTGTTCCTTTCTGTGTGGTGACACTTGTGAGGGCTTCGTAGTCATGTGAGAATGTCTTCTCAGGGTACTTTCTCAGTAGAATCTGAATAAAGTAACATGAAAAAAAAAGACAAGAATGAAATGTAAAAACAAAACATAAAAAAGAAGAATTAAAAGACCCCGAATCTGAGAAGCAGTTGAAATTGTGAATACTCTCATTATTGCCAACTGCTTTGGCTTACGAAAAAATACTCTTAAGAGAATAGTACCATCCAACCCACTCAATAGAGGTACACAAAATTTGAAAAAACAAACAACAACACTTACAACGTCATACAGCAACAACAACAATAACTACTACAATAACAGCATCAATAAGTATTGGAAAAGCTGAGAATTCGTCTGAATGTTCAAGGGTCTGCTGAGGTAATAATACATGTAGTTGTAAAGCGGATAGGGCACTCTCTAGGGCGTGGGTATACTCTAATAAAAGCACAATTTATTATTACTACTACTATTACTACTACTACTACTACTACTACTACTACTACTACTACTACTACTACTACTACTACTACTACTACTACTACTACTACTACTACTTCTACTACTATTATTATCATTATTATTATTATTATTATTATTATTATTATTATTATTATTATTATCATTATTATTAATTTATGATTTATTATTATGATTATCATTAGGATTGCGATTATGACTACGATTGTGATCCTGATTACGATTGTTATTATTGTTTTGATCATTGTATTATTATTATTATTATTATTATTATTATTATTAATATTTTATTATTATCAATATTATTATTATTATTATTATTATTGTTATTATTATTATTATTGTTATTTATATTACTATTTTTATTATTATTATTTTTATCATTATTATTATTATTATTATTATTATTATTATTATTTTCTTTATTGTTATTTTTAAAAACAGTCCCCACCTGCGAGTAGTCTCTTGTGAACAAGCTCTGAACAGTCATCTTGATGAAATACCGACCGGGGATGTTGAAAACCGCGTCCAGAACATCGACATCAAACTCAAGTGATTTAAACTGGATTCTGTGCGAAAGAGAAAGGAAAGTCCATGGAGAAGAATGGGAATATGAGTCAAAAAGAAGGGTACTAAGAAGGAGCTGGCATAAACACTAATGATTGGTGAAAAGAAAAAGCAAAGGTAAACTATCACACAGATTTCGGTAGGGAAGGAAATACTATGTACTTCAGTTTGGTAATGGGGAGGGCCTATAGTGATTATAAGGGAAAGGCAGAAACATTTTATTTATGAGGTGGGGAGGGAGACACACATATAACTATTGTATTATATAATTATATGTAATATATATATTATGTAATATATATATATTATGTAATATATATATATATATATATATATATATATATATATATATAAGAGAGAGAGAGAGAGAGAGAGAGAGAGAGAGAGAGAGAGAGAGAGAGAGAGAGAGAGAGAGAGAGAGAGAGAGAGAGAGAGAGAGAGAGAGAGAGAGAGAGAGAGAGAGATTTATTGTATTCTGTAAAAGCAAGTTTCAGAAAATTATTTGACCCCATCAAACAATTTGATTACTTTGAAAGGATTTAATTTCTGAGCTAGTACCTGGAAATCTTGCTTTGGATCCGTTTTCTCTGTACCCGTGATTTCACCTTTGGTATAGTACAAGCCTGATTGGCTTGCAAGTTCAGTCCAGTCACAAGTCACTTCAGCGCAGATTTGGCCGCCTAGAAATTTTTGACCCCCCCCCCCCATCTGTTTAGGGCAACCACCCCCTCTCTGAGTTTCTGTACTTACGATCAAATTTCGGAAATTGCTTTTATCGCGTGAGCCCAGAGGACAATTGGCGTACATAAAGAGGAACTGGTAGGTAAACATTATGGTGAGTGGTGACTGTCGATTAGGAAGGGAATGAAAACATGACGTGCTGTATCATCCTTTCTCTTAACCTTGATGTTAACAAACATCATCAATGAAAAGAAAACCCCAACAGCATTTGGCTCTGAACACTCTTAACTCACCACCAATCAGCCATGATTTTATAAGGGAAAATAATTATGAAAGAGATAGCTGTATCCATTCGTGCTTCACCCACCACCGTGATGTTAAAAAGGAACATTAAGAAGATTCTATGAACATCCTTTCTTACCCACCAGCCGTGATGTTAAAAGAAGATTATGTATATATCCTTTTTCACCCACAAGCTATGGTAATTAAAAAAAATTATATTAATTAAATAGCTGGGTACATCGTTTGCTTCACCAACCAGCCGTGTTGTTGAAAAGGAAGATATAGAAGAAACAACAGTATATATCCTTCACTCACCCATCAGCTAGAAGACTATTACTCATCCCTGGTGTAGAGGGATCAGCGATGTCTATCCGGTTGGTGGTCAGCTCAGGGTAAGGGACCCGGGGACTTCTGGGGCTCGCCTGTAGATTAAATGATCGTCAACCCCTTCCCATTTCTGGGACTTTATTATGTACGTTAGTACAGACAAGATGAAATATCCGCTCAAGAAAGTTTGGGAATAGGGTGGCCTTTACTGATTATAAGGGAAAAAGGGCCACAAGCAAAGCCACAATAATTTTATATTTTCGTTATATTAAGAGTAAGCTACTGCACAAGCTATAGTTCTTCTATGTCCTGAAAATCATCTATAACAAGACGCCAATGAACCAGTTTTGGAGATCACAAGCGGGTATATTATACGTCAACACAGCCGTACAAGGTTTAAGCTTTTAACTTTTACAATTATGCAGGCTCAGCGAAATAATTCAGTTGATTTAAGTAGAGGACTGCTTCGGCCCTGTCTGTCAGCTCCAGTCCTGGCTAAGAAGAAGGCAGCATCCAAGCAAACAAGACGGGGATACTCGATATAATAGATTTCCCCACAAGGAAATCTTTAGCATGCAATGGTGATGTGCCTAAGAGTTTTTTCACATTACTGCACTCCTGTCGTATAAAGTCGATCCTCCATTTAGTATATATGGCAGGTTATTTTCGTTACTTTAAAAGTAATGTCCAAGTATGTTTTTATAGGCCTACTCATATAATGACGTCAAAGATTGAATACAAGATACAATGACGTCACATATTAGCCATACCCGCCGCTGTTCCCGCGCTATCTTATAGACGTTGCCACCGGCGTTGATGAGCACGTTTGATTTTCTTTCTCAAATAACGTGTCCTAGAAAACGCTTTGTCACACGCGGGTGTCGACCTTGCGTTTTTTGATTACAAAAAAAATAAATGTATAAAGCGAACAGACACCAGTACACACATTTACATAATGTTATGTTGAACAAAATATATGTCTTTCAGTTCTAAACCCTTGTGTCTTTGCCACACTTACGTAAGACATCTTTATAGTTTTCTTTTCCCCTGGGTCAGAACTCCTTCTCTCTTAGCGTTTGAATCTGTTGGAATACAAGGAAGAATAAAACACAGAGCAGGGCCACTCTCAGCAAAACACCCCCCCCCAAAAAAAAACAACCAAAACCCAACAACAAACCAAAACAACAAAAACCAAACAACATAAAAAACCCAAACAACAACAACAACAACAAACAACAACAAACAACAACAACAACAACAACAGCAAAGCAACAAAAAACAAAAACAAAAACAAAACAAAAAACAAAACAACCAACCCAACCAACAAACAAACGGACAAAACAATGAGCAAAACTAAACCAAATATAAAGAGATAACAAAAGCAACACATCACTAGGTGGTATCATTGGTGATTCTGCTTTTGAAGCTCCGAAACCTCAGTCGGTATCATACTGGACGATGAAGCGGATGGCCCTGGTTCGAATCCCAGACTGGGTATTTTCGATCTCGGATCGCTTTGTGGAGTTTTCAAGGCTCTCAACTCCAAAGGAGATGGAATTTAAACTCGGCGTAAGAGTGTTGATTAGGGCGTTCAACTCATTCACTCACTAGGGTTGCAGAATCTCAACGAAAGCTTGGGCTGCGTATGTAAATCCAGAGCTAGCGATGTTCCACCAAATATAACACACCACTTGTGCCCGATTTGTTGTGGGCCTAATAAAATTAAATATTTATAACCTTGTTAGATCTCATTTACCCTCGACACTGTCCACTGCGCTCTCTCAAATGAGAAAAGTCGCTGGAGTGAAATGTGACGGAAGACTTGAGCTAAGTTGGTCAGAAGGTTGTCAGAATTTGCATCTGAATCTGTAAGGCATATAGATCTGGTCTACTCTAAACTTAAGTCAACGATTTTTGTTGTTTAGTTTTTCGCTCCCGTATTGGTCTGATGATACAGTCGGACGCACACTACTTGAATTTCCACTCTGTGTGAAGTTCTGGTCTTCGTCGACTATGACGGAAGAAAAACAACACCCCGGGGAACAGATAGGCATAATGAGTCAGAGGAACATACATTAAGTCTGAAACTGAAAGGAAAACGCTACCTCTATCCAAAAGGTTGTGGCATATGAGGATCATAGCACCAGCTGGAGAATGGCACTCATTTTTGGCGGTGGAAAGATGGTTTTTTAAATATATCCCCACTCGGATTATGTTGGGTTTTTATGTAGATGTTTAGACACAATTAGACTCAATTTAGATCATAAAAGAAGCTGGCTTGGACCCTGTCTGTCAGGACCAACATTGGCTGAGAGGGATACAACGTCCCAGCAGAAAGACCGGGATACTCAATAAAAATTCGCCCCACACGGGAATCGAATTCAGATCTTCTGTGTGCGACGGTGAAGCTGCTAAGCGCTACACTACATGTTATGGTTGGTTGGGTTTAATGTGCCTTTTCAACATAGTTAGGTTCTTTGAGAAAGAGGGGAAAGGGCTGAGGTCTCCGATTTTAAAGTTCTCAATTGAGAGGACCCAACAAAACAGGTGAAGGGCTACGGAACTCCCAAATACTAAACGTCTATAAAACATGTACTGTTGGAGAGCCGAACCATGCCCCGTAAAGACTCCAATTGAGTAATTATCATTGTTAGAGCTCTCGACATAGTTTCCGAAACCTGATAAGAACTAAAGACTTTACACTACAGGATGGACCGCTCCGCTAAAAGAGCATCCATACGCATTTTAATCTCAGGTGGCGCTACTGTCGCTGTTTTGGATCTTATGCTTCTTTCGTTTCTCCAGAAGACAAGTAACTCATCTTTTAGATTTAAAAACAACAACATTATTGTAATTCCGTACCGTGGTCAGCTGTTTCCTCTGCTGGGTTTCAATCAACTACGGCATTATGACCCCCCAAGCCCAAATATAGTTAAGAGTTTGCTACACTCTTATTGCATTTGATGCAACACAAATTTTATGGCTGAATTTTATGTTTGACTTATGGTGTATATATCAACAAGTGAATATGTGGGCCTGATAAAATTAATTAACATTTATAACATTGTTAGATCTCGAATTACCCACGCTACTGACCACTGCTCTCTCAAATAGGGAAAGTCACAAGAGTGAAGTGTGTCGGAGGACTTGAGCGTGTTTAATCCCATTCAGTTGGTCAGACGGTTTCAGACTTTGCATCTGTCAGGCATATAGATCTAGATCTAGTCTACGCTAAACGAACCTCCACAAGTTTTATTGAGATTTTGTATCTCGGCACTCGAAGAGTTGCCTTGTTGCGTATTTTCATCCAGGACAAAAGAATTATGGATCCGAGTTCTGCGTTAATAAATGATTGATAAAAAGGCACAGCATATAAACAATAACTGCCTGTCAATATAAGGTACACGACAACAGATATCTTGACTTACACTTTGATTTGTTAGTATTATCAGAAGGTTCTAACATCTCTTGGTTTCCAAGCATTTAGATTCACAAAAAAATTGGAGATGGTTCCCTTAGTTTTATTACGAGTAGTACAATCCTTCTTCTTCGACAGGAACAATATTTGAATATCCCTGAAGAGATTGCAGGTTTATATAAATATTTCTGCCCTAATTGTATTTAATTTGAAAAATGTCGCATTTCTGTCATCTTCTTTCTTCTCTTTGTTTCAGTCTTCTCTCTCAATGTCACGGAAAAAAACCCTTCCCATTATATTGCTGATGACATACTCTATTTAGTGAAAAATTAAACATTGCAGATATTAGGTATGTGACAATACGGTTTACACACGAATCTCAGCTTGCTTTCCCCAAGGATATGGTTTTACTGATACTATATTTTCGAATTCTTCAAGTTTACAAAATTTGGAATTAGCTACATTAGTTGCCCATAATTATGGATTGTGGCAACATTGTTCTCTTGCGCTGCACTTCACTAAGATTGATGTAAAGTTTGCATTGTAATCCTAAATGAATAACATTTATTTGGTTTGTATTTCTTTTAATTAAGAAATTGAGATTGTGACCACCAGTCCAAATAAAGAAAAGTATAAGTTAAACAATAAAAATAACCTGCTGAAAAGGTATAATGATAGCAACAATGGGAAAAGTTGTTCATCAACTCAGTGAAGAAGATAAAGGGCAGCTTCGATCATGCTTGTAAGGACCAACAGAGGCTGTTTGAGATTATATCCTAGCAAAAAGACTGAGGTACTTGGCAGAATAAATTATGTCGATGCAGATCATTTCTATAGCGCTCATGTCGTAACATAGAATGCATGTGCACGAAAGTGCTAACAGACACTCTTTAGATTAACCGACTGTAAAACAATTTATTTTTTGGGAGGCAAGTTGCTACGACTCTGTCTGTCAGGGCCATCCGGGCTCAATGAGATGAAACATGCCAACTGACAGATGGGGTTACTCGAAAAAATGGGTGCTTGAAGCAAGAATTGAACTCATATCATCTGTGCAGAACACACACGTCGTTCATTCAAAAGTCTAAACTATAAAGAAAAGAAGATCAGACAAAAATGAGATCGATTGCTAAAAAAAAACAACAGAAAAAAAACAACAGATCTGTAATTTGGCAAACATAAGACAGGCTGAAACATTTTGTTTATAATAATGAAAATTGTCTTTATGATTGAGGACTATATTACGGATCAAAACACCGTGTACGGTTAACAAGGGGATCCTTTAATTAGTTACTCACTGATAAGTCATTAACCTCAGACTTTGCCGGAATTGCCAGCTTATTTCAGTTTATCAATATGTTTATTTATCTGCCTGTTTTGAGGTCTTCCAACACACTTTCTCAAGTCGAATCTTCAAAAAGTGTAATACTTGAAGCCAAATACTTATGTCAGCATACCTTTCTTCTCACTTTTCCAAAAGATTCCACAGGATCGATATCAACATAACAACAACGAAAAGAACCCAGAATTTCTCTCTGTCTGAATATCTTTTGAAACTTGACCACCGTGACGTGATGGTCTGCAAATCAAATCCAAAGTTCCAAGGAAATCATCCCGTCTCTATCCGGGATTCCTCCGCCATTTTGGGAAGGAATTTGTTGTGACTCTGTGCACTATCACCAAGTCGCTTGACACAAGCTCCAAGAGTAAATACCTGGCCCTCGAGCATTTATCTGGACCGAAGAGCTCTCTATCTAGTCTACACAAGACACGCTGTGCCATATATGTACAGACATTATTCCAGTGTTTTCACCCCCTATTCATCGATCTATTCCGCCCGTAGAGAGGGAAATTGAGCGCCTTTAGGAACCGAGAAGTCAAGAAGGATAAAGGATATCAGATCTCTTGTGGTTGTATCTGGTGTCCCGATTTCGCTTGCAGGAAACGTTTTTGTCGCACTTGAATGACGACCATGCCGCGCAGAGATATTGTGCCAGGAAAAGTCCTTATCCCATGACTCGTATGCGTGTGTGAGAGAGAAAAATCGCTATAATGCGGAACAATACATAAATTGATAGGTTTATGGGGTCGGTCTGGCATTTTATGACACGGCCGTAAGATATGTTTTACACACACCGACTGCTCGACAAAAGGATAAGCTGAGAGAGAGAGAGAGAGAGAGAGAGAGAGAGAGAGAGAGAGAGAGAGAGAG